TGTGTGGGGGTGGAGGGAGAGGGGGAGGCGGGTTTACTCATCTTCTCTACTCTTCTACTCCTAGTAGGTCTTCTCCATTTTCCGCGATCGTCTTTTTGGGTTTGTGTTAACTTTATCCATCCATCTTAGCTTCGCTCTTCCTCTTGGTCTTTTTCCGAGGATCCACAGACATTGCCAATTTAGCGACGTGATCTTCCTTCTTTCTACTGACATGTCCGACCAACGGAATCGCTTCTCTTGTATTTGATTTCTTGACAGTTGGAGCGATTTTCATTGTGGCTCTTATGGTACCGTTGATGTATGGTCTATTATAGTGACGCCTGTCGTCCAGCTTAGCATGCGGCATCCTACTAATCCTTCGTTCATCGCTTCTCGTACAGGGCCAACATTCACTTCCATATAGAGCAGTTAGGCGGACCATAGTGCGGTGGAGTTAAAATTTTAGCCTAATTGGCATCCGCTTGTCGTGCAAAATTTCGGTATTGCTTTTTCAACCAAGCCGCGTTTATCCTGAAAGTAATCTCGTGTTGGAGCATTCCATCCGCGGAAATGTGATTTTCCAGGTATTTGAAGCAGTGATCTTTTTAATCGAAATGCCTCCAATCTTTATAGTCACAGCCGCTTGCGCTCCAAGCTCCTCCATGTATTCGGCTTTTTCGGTATCAATCTTCAGACTATGCAGCTCAAGTTCAAAATTCCATTTTTGCACTTCCGACTCTAATTCTTCTCTTTTTTTTGCCATCAGCATCATATCATCTGCGTATATTGGAGCATATGGAGGTCAGGTATGATGCCTCTTACTATCATGTCCACGACCGTGATAAAGAGAAAGGGCGACGATACAGAATCTTGATCAGCTTCTATTTGGAATTCTCTCGACCGGCCTGCTGCTGTTTGTACTTGGCCTGTGGCATTTTTGTAGATCATTTTAGCCCCTGCCGTACTTTTCTGATGTCATGTGCCTTCGCAGGCACCATAGGGTATCATGCAGCACCTTATCAAACGCTTTCTCCATATGGAAAGACGCTGCATGTAGCTCGCATTGCTTTTCCATGATTCCTTCGGACATGATCTTGGCAGCGTAAATGGCAGATTTATCTTTTGAAAAGTGAATGAAAACGCTGCAAAATCGTACTGAGGATATACTTCGGCACTGCTAAGCCTGTTTTCGGCAGGAGAAATTGATTCTGAAGATTATGAATTTTTCGATTATCCCTAGCTCACGATCAGTGGTTCATCGAAGTTTTCGATATCCTTATTTCTTCAATTAACATGTTCAGCGGTGCCGCAGTAGGTTCTCAGTACAATTTTGCAGCATTTTTATTGACTTCTCAGGAAGATAAATGACTTTAAAAATGAGAGTTGATTCCCTGGGAATTATACAAGATGGCAAAAAGCCAATCTTGTACGGCAGTAATCTGGCATCCATTATGCGCTGATATAAGGGTATGAGAACCTTCAAAAGCAAGATAGAGAAGGAAGAAGAAAGATGCCTAGAGCAGCGAGATATGACGCATCCCCTATCAGAACCCTTCCCTGCCCAAGGGGGAAGTACGTGCATACGGGCCTTAAAGGCAGCGGCTCGGCAGAATGACAACTTTGGGATATTCATCATTCTCGGTTTCCCTGGATGAGCTAAGTCCAAGATTGTGCTTTGCAACTTCAAAAGATATCAATAACCCGCTTTTCCAGACGTGAGAAGCGCTTTTTGAGGGCGGACCGCGTATCCGCCCTCTAGAGCGCGATTGGCTCGTGGGCACGGTGGGTACAGTATCTCCAGCCGAGCCGCTGCCTTTAATTTGTGGCACATGAGTCGGATGAGCCGGTACATGTATCAGTCAGCTATGTCGCCTTTGTTCTTCCATATCGAAACTGATCGGAGCTGTCGTACTGCTGTACCGGTCGCTTGGCATATCTTTGGCAGCAATTATCTGATTCAGAAGTTGCTTTGACGATATATATTACTCCGGTCCGTCCACATCTCTTCCAAAATTCGCTGGGACGTCATCTGGACCTGTCGTCTTGCCGTTTTTTGTTCTCGTAATGGCGAAATAAACTTCCTCCTTTGTGATTCTAGGTAATGGCCCAAGCACAGGATCGGCTGCTATTACGAATGCATACTCGCGGCTTCCTGGATGCCATTCCTGCAGATGTACCCTTCATCTTTACTTATTTCCTGTGGCTTCATAAGCACCTTTCCGTGATCATCTTTGACATTATAGAAGTGTTCCTACATTCTCCGTGGCGCTTGTTCTTCTCCTCGCTTGTCTCGTTTGCCTTCGCGGGTGCGTAGCTTTCTGTAGAGTCCTCCAAATACGTTTTTGCCTCTGTGGCAGTCCTCTTTGCTGCACGCCTTGCTTCTACATACGCATCTTCTGTCTGTAATTTTTGCCTTATCCTGTATGCCGCCTTCTTCTTCTTTTTCAGAACCTGTACGGCTCCATTCCACAATCAAGTTCCTCTGTCAAGCTTTGGTCTTCCGGTTTTAATGAAGCCCATAAGCTTGTTAGCTATATGATAGATATTGTTCTTAAGATCTCCAAGACCGTTCTGGACTATTGTCCATTTCTGATAAAGCGGTTTTCATGACTTCTTTGGGGTAGTCATCGTTCTTCAGTTTCCATTATAATGCGTACTCTATGGGTTCCTGCATACTACGCCGTAGGAGGCGGCGTGCTGCGACAGGCTGCTGCGTTCTCGGCGTGAGCCGCAGCACGCCACAGCATGCCGCGTCCTGCTGCTAGTATGAAGAAATTCTACGCTACGTCACTTTCGTTCCCTAAAACCTGGGATATCCAGACTCAAGAGCAGTGGTCTGTGCTGCTTTATGCAGTCTTCACCAAGGATGGTGCTATCCTACACGTATCTAAGCTCATGCTGGCGAATGCTCCGAAAGTCTATCCGCGATCTTTTCCACTAGCGTATGTAATCAGGTGACTATTCCTTTTTATGAAATAAGTGTTTGCCAACGCCAGGTCATGAGCTGTAACAAATCGAGAATGAGTTCGCCTTCCTCATTACATAGTTTGTATCCATGGTTTCCTTGGCATTCTCATGGTTTCCTCGTCGTTCTCCCACATGACCACTGAGACCAGCTCCAGTTAGTACCATCTCTTCAACTGTCACGAATCTGATGTAGTCGTCAAGTTCTCACCAGAATATATCCTCCTCAACTTCACCGTCCTGCGTAAGCAGTGACTATAGGCTGTACCAACCCGCATCGGTTATGCGACGCCGCGCCTGCGGCAACTTGCGACGGTGCGGTTTGACGCGTGCGAACTCTGCTACGCGTTAAGGCACGTCGCATGCGACCGCGCGTCCTCGTAAGGCATGCCAACGTGGGACCGATGCTGGTTGGTACAGCCTATACTCGCAAAACTCGCTTTTCATTTTTCATCCTGATGCCCATGAGTCGGTTAGTTACTCGATCAACGTTGGTTATTGTGTTTCGCGACCATTCGCAGACTACTATCCCGACTCCGTTTGCCCTTTTTTGTTCCTTTGTACTAAAGCTTGTATCCATCTCCTATCTCGGGCAATTTTTCACCTTCCATCTGGTCTCCTAAATGCAGGCAATGCTCACCTAACGTTTTTTGAGGAGATCTGCTAGCTTTTTGTGTCTTGCAGTCAGAGATCCTACGCTAATGTGAGTTAAACGGAGCGTTTTTGAAGACTTGAGTGTTTTCTTGCTTCCTCGATGAGCTAGCATTTCTGACCGTCTTCGCTCATCTTGTTTAGAAATTAGAATTCTTCGTGTTTCGTGAGCATCAAAATGTGCGGTGCTCTTATAGTGGTCCTAATTATTACTTGAAAAATCTTTTTGAGACATGAAAGAGCATAAACGATGCTACAATTTGTCGTCTTCAGCCGGCTTGTCGCGTGCTAACGTTCGGGTTAGCAGCCTGACGCTGAAACAACCAATTACGATGACGGAAAGATTGCGATCCGGCCGTTTGTGTGTCTTTGAATCAAACGCTATCAGACCGCAAATGAATAGTCTGTACTGCTTTGATTGATAAAATGCCCGATCCTTTGCACATTTAGAATGCGCGTAAGATGAGGCAAGGACGAGAGGAGTACTGCGAATTCGCGTAACGACTGAAATCGCGTGAGGTACTCAGACAATAACTCGAACGAGCGGCGGGCCTCTATCGGGCGGGCGAACATGCCTCTCACCGTTCGTTCTTTGAGTCACGCCGCCCGCCGCTAGAGATATAAAGCGAGCTAGCGGAGTACCTTTAGCGGGCGACCATCATGCTTCTCTCCGCCTCTTTCTCCGGAAGCTCGGCCATATATGGCCGAGGCTTTCGGCTTCCGACAATACTTCCCGCGATTCCGTCAAATGGCTATATCCACGCGACTTGGCAACTTGCCAAATGTCTACAGATGATCCTCGTCTTGGATGCATAGGCGCATGACTCCAGCAGGTCGTCGCAAGTGTATTAAGTTTGCTTAAGCAGCGAGCTCACGACAAATTGGGAATCGCTGCAGTGTTAGATCTCGCATCGACTGCTAACGCGCGAAATATAAAGAGAACGCTGTCATCCGTCCAAATTTTTTGGGATCTTACATCAATTTGTATGCCCCTCTCTTTCCCTCAAGTGGCTTCATCAATCTTTGCAGCTGTTTATGATCTCCGGGGACATGAGCCGCCTTGTCGATTTCTTAAGACTGCGTTCATACTGATCCCGAAGTTCGGGAACAGTTTCAGCACAGCGCCAAGTTCGAGCACTATGCTGGAACTGTTCCCGAACTTTCAAATCAGTATGAACGCAGCCTAAGCAAAATCGCCTGATACCGTCGGCCCAAAAAATGTCGCCTTCTTGCGCCCGAGTAATTCTGTGAGATGCTTGTGCAGCAAGTTCCACTTGGTCGCACTGAATTGAACTGCATATAGAGATTTTCACCATTTCTGCGTTTGCCGAAGTAAATAAGCTTGAGTAGGCGAAAGCGAAACCCAGTTGTCGGGATAATATCTGAAAGCAGAGCCCACTTTTTCAGTATACTGCTCATTATTGGAAACCTGCATATTTACACGAGATGTTCGAAAGTGCCGCTGACAAATACCCTCCAAAAGTGCTGCTGCATGGTGAGCCATTTGCGTCAAACATCTTCAGAAGGCTAGACAACACAGAATTGGTGTGGACTATCGTCGACTGGACAGGTGAGGTTAAAGCTAATGCGATCTGAGAGGGTGCTCATACCACTGAAAAAGTAATTATTTGTTGTGGTTTTATCATCAGCCAATATCCATCCATCCACAAAACGAGATTTTTGTACTGGTATTAAAAACATTTCCAAACTGGAACGAATTTTAAAAAGTCGTAGCCAATACTCAAGAGCAAAATTTATTGTTAGTGTATAATGTCAGGGCTCTTACGTAGCGAAATGACACATCACTTATGCATCACTTCACTTACTCGCCTATGCCTTCACACGTCACTCCACTGGCTAATTTCGATTGTAAAATTAGACAGGCTCCCTACAAATGTCCTGCTCGTTTACCGTTTACTATACTAAACGCCATTTTGGCTTACCGTCGCTTATCAGTTCCTCTGTCCCTCGTAAATGTGCAAAAGATTGCAAAACTATTGATGCAATCACCGGTTGACTAAAATAATTTGACAGTTGGAATGATGTAATTGCTGCCAACTCAAATTTATAGTTGTATAAAAAGTTCGTTTGCATTTTCTGTTTTAGTTTTTCCTCAATAATTTTCAAAGCATTTAAAGAAATTTTTATATGCGCTCGGAAGCTCTAAGTCTGCTCTACCGAACTACTATCATTAGTTTTTCAATTCTTGAGAAGTTGATCAAAAAATTCGACTGGAAATCAAAAAATCCGATGAGGCAAAAATACTACTTTCGACATCTTTATCTCTCTTAGTTTTTCCCGTTTACCATTGAAAAAACCTGACAACGATTGAAAACAATAGACTAATCGCATGTGCACCTACTGCCACTACTTTTACTTGCTCAGTCCTATTATCGACCGTCCAGTGCCATTTTGCAGAAGTTGGCGGGGAAGACTATGCCGCAAAAGCGTTCGTCGTTTCTTGTAAATGAGTTCTGTGTCCCTCAAAAGCTGAATTTGAGGGTAAAGAACCCATACATTTGATGATTTTATGATCAAAGAGCCCCTAATCTGCCAATTCTCTATTGTTTGACAACCATACTTTCTCTCTAGGTACCTTCGGATGTCGAGAAAGCAGACCTTTCTCCAAACTTGTAATATGAACTTTTGAACAATTTCAGCACGTATAAGTAGTTTGCGGGAGGTACAGCATTTTATTGACACATTTCGCAAACTTTTCCAGCTGTATTTTGAACGTTCAAACCCATTTGAGACGCAGCGTAACATAGTTGTCGATTTGGTAGCAGTTTGCTAGAGCAGACTTAGAGTCCGAATGCTTACAGAAATCTTGCCAGAAGCTTTGCATAATACTGAGAAAAACTAGAAAAATGCGCATGAAGAAATCACACAACCTATTACTTCACTTTTGTCTCTGACTAGTAAAACGCTGATTATTATCATTTGAGGATGTCATTCCGGTTGTTATGGGGAGGACCTCGCTAAGGCAATATGTTGGAATCTCTCCACAAAGGTAACATACATGAATCATTATCTTAAATAATGCTTGTCTTGTTTAGGACAGATTGGAATGCACAACATCGCTTCTTGAAGAATATTACCAACACGTAATGAGATATTCTGGCGACTTAGAACTAACAATGAACGATGTCAGAAAAGCATATGATGCGTTTCTTCCTGTCGCGATGGTGACATTTACAGCGAAAGTGGGACGCTTATACTTGCGCTGTTCTAAATTACTTTGAATTTTCATCTTTACAGATAATGGAGATGCAGAACAAAGGAGATGTCGAGTCTTTGCTTGAGAGAGCAAAAGGACTCATCGAAAACCTGTATACTCTTATAAAACTAAACGAATGATAGTGTGAAAATTCGCAAACACTTTATAGATCCATTCTGTTTGTGATGCACTTGATTATGCCAACACTAACTTTACCTGGAAAGCCCCAACAAAGATTTGTAGGGGTCAGAATCAGGAGAACAATTTCCTTTTTTATCGAAACAAATTTACGAGAAAAGCAATTTGTCTATCATTATCCGTTTCTAGAGAAGACCTGTTGACAAAGTGCCTTCAAGCCGAAAGCCGGCCTTCGCAAATAAAGGTTTGAGCAAATGTATAATAATCGCTAAATCTAATACCAATGGTGTACTAGGCTGCTGCATAAGTTCTGTCCGATTTTTCGCGTTGTATTTATCCTAGGAGGTTTTCGAGTTCAATGGGGCAATATTTTTTTTATCATCAGAAAGCGTTTTCCTTGCTCCTTCTCATATGTAAATGTATTTCATATAAAATTTCGGTCCAGCAAGATTGCTGCCCATAGAGCGAGATGACTAATTTGGTCTTCACTGAGGAACATATTCCTGTAAGGAATCCTCCACAATGCTTCCTCCAGGTTAGGTTCTTTCATTGGACACCAAATAAGAGTTTAATGGGTTAACATATGCACTAATTTACGTTTGAAATCGTCTTACTTGCAGAACTTGTTGTCGAGCATTAGTGCTTTATATTGATGTTCTACGTTCAATGACATTCTGTGAATAGAATTGATTCAGAAGTTGTAGGTAAAAGAGTAAAGCAAGGCAATCAGAGCCCACACATGAGTAGGCAGGCATTTGTAAAAATTCAAAAATTTGGAAATGACATAACTGAAACGGCCATTTTTCATTTGCATCTTTAGGTCTCAAGAATCGTACGAAATTTTTTGATCTCAAAAAAAATTCCAGAGTTTTCGCTATCCATTGATGGCTACTAAATATGTGCCAGATCTTACGAGAGCAGCAACCTGTCAAAGAAAGATCAGTCTAAAAAAGCTATTGTAAGATTGTATGTAAGTAGATTGAACGCTCTCTTATCTTCAAATCTGAGCATGTTCTAGAGAATATTATAAGATTTTGCAATTCTGGTTTTTTCAATGCATTTATAGGGAGTATTATCTGTTTGGTAGCCGAAAGTTTGCTTAATCCAGAGAGACTGAGCTTGTCGAGAAAAAGTTGATTTTGGAAATACTCATGGTATTTTGGACCTGAAAATCGCAAATGGGCAGAACTTATGCAGCAGCCTGATACTTCGAAAATTACAACCTGGTGCGGTGCTCTTTTACAAATTATCCTACATTTAGTAGTAAGTATTCTTCTCAGTATCGTGCTCAATATGACTGGAACTTTGTTTGAATGCAAATTTGCGTTTATGTCTTTTTTGTGCTCTAATGATAAAGATTCGTACAGGATGGTTGCAATTCATAACCGACTATAATTAGAACAGAGATAAGACTAAAGTCTTAAAATTCAGCTCAGAGGCTCTAGTTCGACTTTTCCAACATTACTTTCGTTAAGGAGAAACTAGGCTTTCGAAAGTGTTCCACCTTCCCACACAAATACTTGACTCAATAATCGAGCATGATTGTTTTCAAATTTCAAAAAAGGTAGGACTCATGCAGGGTAATGTTAGCCGAATGCCGTTTGAAAAAAAAGGAGTGTTAGTTCATCTATTTCTTCTGCCAGATCGCCAACGTTCACGTGTCTTCTTAAGAAATATTGTACAAATCATTCAATAAAAGTCAAACAGTATTTACAAGGTAAATATGGGCTCGCCATCTTGGAAAACCCTTTGGGTTACAATAGTTTGAAATGCCGTCCCAAACAGCTCTTTTTTTTGTTGCAAAGCTGGAAGGGGCTGAAATTTGTAACGGTACTACGTCATAATAATTCGTTGCCAAAACCATATAATTCGCTGCAGAACGCCGAACATAGACTGGAACGGAATAGTAAACTTGGTTTTTTTTTCTCAAAGCGGTGAATCTATTGGAGAGTACATGTGACAAGAATTATTCATTTGACGCGAAAGTGAGGATTTAAAAGTTTTTTGGCCTCTCTTGTCGTCTGCAAAGTGGACTGTTCAATCTTGTATTCGATTTTTTTCTGTGAGTAAGTCACAGCAAGTTTATCTCCTCGGGTTACTTACAAGGGATGGATACTTGGTCGAAGTGACGTTTCCATACAAAATGTATACCGTTTTATAGAGCATGGAACGCTGAGTTCAAACCTACCTTGCTTATCTGCAAAGCGCTTCTGGGAGGGAAGTTATGGAAATTTTTTAATGCAAAAATTTGAAAGCGCAGCTACAATAATCATTCGGAACCTTAGTCTGTGATTTCAAATGGGGCCATGATTGCTATCAGGACGTTTTGTACAATAAGACCTTCAACCTAATAAACTTATGTCAGTTATTACTCCTTTCAAGCGCCGAAAAGACCTCAACACCCATTTTTACCTTAGCCAAATTATTGAATTTCTACCTCAAAAAGTTCGCATAACTCCCCTCCCAGACGCGCTTTGCAGATGCCGAAAGCAGATCTGGAATAAGCATTCAATGCTCTATAAGATGATTTACATCCCATATGGAGACTCCACTTCGACTAAGTATCGTTTCTTGCTAGAACATTCATCCGAAGATGTATAAATATTATATATCAACTTCAAAAGCTGGAAGTAACAAGGAGCCACCTTAGTTTTATGTACAATAATCTCTAACTATCACTTATTTCACTACAAATAATTTCAGCATTTCAACGTAATCGATATCGATCTCCATTAGTCGATGAAAATCATATAAATCGAGCGAAGTTCTAAGTTCCCGCCATTTTTTGATTGATCTTGACTCGACGCTTTTTTGTCCTTTCTGCGCAAAACCTGCGACACATGTGCATTCCTAACAGCACTTGATACAGCAAAGCACGCACGAGGAAGATCTTCACTACGCTCCATCCACATAGCAAAGCCTTTCAAATGTAGCGATTTGAGAGCATGCAAGCACCAAGCTAATTCCTCCTACATATAGCGCATGTTCTTCACTTATAGATAGAAATAATACCTTATTTCTATCTATAAGTGAAGAACATGCGCTATATGACCGATCAAAAGCTTCGCCGAGGATATCGCAACATCCAAGTCTTCCAAGGCTCATGCTTCCAGGACCTTAAAGCCTTCCTAACATCTAAATCAACTTTTTAATCAAAGCCAGATAGCATCCCTGATCATCATCGAGGAACATCACTCGCTAGATTGCTGCCTACATAAGCTAGAACAGATAGTAAGTACCTTTCAAATTCTAAAGGATCTGTTGCTGTGGTCAAAGATCCGATGGGGATATCCGGGCCTCTCGTGAAGTCGGTTCTAGCTGTTACCGGCAGTCGAAAGTGAAGGTGGAGCTTCTGGGTCCCCGCATCCAAAACGGCGACCGGAGGGGGCGGGGGAAGGGAAGGAGAGAAAGAGAATTAGTAAAAAGGCCAAAGTTTGGTGCAGAACGCTGAAAATGACTCCTTTTTTATCGTCTAATCCAGATAGGAACCACCTGGTCGTCACCTATTGCAACGCCCTCGTTAAGGACAATTATAGTGATACTAGCTGGCTTACCCGGCTCCGCCGTATCCGGACCAAACTTGGCACACATACACTTCGGGCCCCGGCGGGTGTCACAGTCCACTTTTCGTTATCGATCGATGTCGATTTTACCGATTTTTATCGTTTTTTTGCAGAGTTCACCTACAGGGCTAGGAGTTGGCACAGGAGGGGAAGTGAGCATGGGGATTCCGAATACAATATTAGTTTTCAGAATTATCGATTACTTTTATTGATTTTGTCGATTTTTTGTAAATTTTGACATGCGAGGCTGGGATTTTGCACAGGGGGGTAATCGAGCATGCTGATTACGAACACAATATTAGTTATCAGGATCGTCCATTACTTTTATCGATTTTATCGATTTTTTTTATAAAGTTTGACCTGCGGGGCTGGGAGTTTGCACAGGGGGTAATCGAGCATGCAGATTACGAATACAATATTAGTTTTCAAGATCGTCCACTACTTTTATCGATTTTATCGATTTTTTGAAAATTTGAGCTAGGGGGCTGGAATTTGGCACAGGGGTGTAATCGAGCATGCTGATCACCCCCCTTGGGGATGATCAGCATGCTCGATTACCCCCCTGTGCCAACTCCCAGCCCCCTAGCTCAAACTTTGCAAAAAAATCGATAAAATCGATAAAAGTAATTGATAATCCCGAAAACCAATATTGTATTCGAATCCCCATGCTCGATTACCCCCCTGTGCGAACTCCAGCCCCGTAGCTCAAACTTTGCAAAAAAATCGATAAAATCGATAAAAGTAATCGATAATCCTGAAAACCAATATTGTATTCGGAATCCCCATGCTCACTTCCCCCCTGTGCCAACTCCCAGCCCCGTAGGTGAACTCAGCAAAAAAATCGATAAAAATCGATAAAATCGATATCGATCGATGACGAAAAGTAGCCTATGACACCCGCCGGGGTCCGAAGTGCATGTGTGCCAAGTTTGGTGCGGATCGGTTCAGAAATGAATTTTCTATTCGGAACATACGTACAGACATACAAACAGACAGTCAGACAGACAGACATACATACATACAAACAGACATTCAGCTTTATATATAAGATAACCGCATAAATTCAGTAAAACGTTTATCATTCATCATGTATGGAATTGTAAGCAGTTAAAACGTGATGATTTTTGATGAGCAGAATCTGTTCTATTGAACTTTGAAGAAACTAGGTCGACCCAGAAGTTTATCGCTAATGATATTTCAAAAGCTGAATTCATGAAAAATTTGATTGCAACTGTGAGTCTGATCTGAAAACTATTCATCCCACCTATTTCATTCAAAAGTTAAGCAATGTTCTATGATGTAGTCAAACAATCATATCGATCTAGAAGTGGGCCGCCAAAAATCATAGCCTTAACCGTTCGTCGTTATAAATCAAATTTGTAACTTCACTTATCAAAGCGCAAAAAAAGAAGCTGGATCCAAATGTCCATCGGCATGAATTAGGCGTTTGAAGAAATTTCAATTTAGGTTGCTTAATAACAATGAGTTTGCGACTCTTACAAATCTTGATAAACTTGGGTGGTGTTAGCCCGATAGGTTTTATAGCGTAAGGCTCGCTTTACCGTATAATTAGGAGGTTAAGAGAATATCGTCGAAAATCACACTTGAAATGCCCAGAAAAATCGTCTGCCAAAGTTCAACGTCCACAGTTTCTTTAGACTTCGTTTAAATCGGTTGAGACTTGGCTAGAAGTCTTAAAGAGCTTTCACTTGGTATATGATAGAAGCATTTGACGTTTCTTTAGACTCGAAATTAGGGGGAGCGGATCCTCACAAACGTACTATTAGCCACCAAAGCGGTCCTCGCTTTTGTTTAGTTATTTGATAAAAATCAAAAAGTGAAAAGAAGCGGGAAGGCGGGCCATTATAGGTGCACCTGAAGTTTCTGTTCGTTGAAGCACTTCTGAGCTCGAATTTATCGGGTAAAAACACATACAGAAGCGTCAAACACTTGGTCAGGCTACCTTCAATCCCCCCCCCCCCTTCACGTAAACTTCGCTCCTGAAAACTTGCTTCTGAATAGCATATCTGTGTATCCCGCTGATTCGGAAGCGACGGAACTTATCTATCTTCTGCATGCTTGTTGATGTGAGCATTACAAAATAGATCTGACCTTCTGCTTTTGAACAAAACCGGACAGTGACCTTGTCGCAAGTCTGACAAGGAAACGATACTCGGTGTCCGTGGCCTTTTGAGATGAGTTGTATACCATTACACTCGTCTTGGAACGCTGATCCCGAATCTGACTTCCGTTTCTGCTAATCGCTTCAAAGATGTTATAAAGGATTGTGCGGGCTTTGGCTGCCCACTGAAATATGCTCGGGGCGCCAACAGTGACGGTGCGGTGTGGTCTAGTGGTTAGTGCGATAGGCTCATGGGTTAATGGAATGTGGGTTCGAGTCCTTTCGTGTTTTTCAGTTTTGCATTGCCTCAGTAAATCTTCTTTCGCATCTTCGAGCTAACTGAACGCCCTTACTCTTCAAAAAATGTGGAATGAAAAAGATAATAACTATCTGCTCTAAAATGTATCCAATGATCATAATTCGAGTAAATCTCGAAAAAGTTTAATTGGCAGTGCAAGATAAAAACACAAAAAGATTTAAACCTACACTTGCATCAAGTCATGAGGCTATCAAACTAACCGCTAGACAATAACGTGGCGCCGGTAGAGTCCGTTCCGGTGACCATAGACTTGAGCGGCCAAAGTTGGCTCGAAATTCCTCCATAACTTCTTTCAGAGAAACGGAAGTCAGATTCGGAATTAGCGTTCGAAGACGAGTGAAATGGTATACATCTCGTCTCAAAAGGCCACGGACATTGAGTATTCCCTTGTAAGCTTGAATTTTTCTCTTCAAACTTTTCGCATTATCATTGCAAGCAAGGTGTAATCAAAGCATCCTACAAAAAAAATTGCCTCTCTACTCATGAATATTCACAAAGCCTCTATTTGCTTTGTTTCTAAAACACAAGTCAAGCAGCCTAAAGTGTCACGCAATTTCAAAATAACTTATCAATCTTGCTCATATTTTTTGGCAGTAATAATTGGCTATATAGCGAAAACGGCTTGTGTTGTATGTCAGCACAAGACTTTCTTGATGATTTTGAGCTTTGGCTTGGAGGCTCGTTGCAATCAATTTTTGCAGGGGTGTTCTGCAATTATACCTACTCGTTAAGACCTACAAAAATCTATAACCATGACATACGGTCTCCCGTGCATACAAATAAACCTTTGACCATGATCCCAATCCGCTTTGATTACTTCCTCACCGCCATCAAACCGGCGCACGCTTGGGCATTACACTGCTCAAGCATCCCTTTTACGAGCGTTTCTCACTTGGTTTTTCCAATCCAAAACAGCTGATTTCATCCTACGCCAGACATTTCTTTATGTTTTCGTGTGATTTTACATAGCTTTTGGGGATTTTGCCGAAATAGGTGATATTCTGCTGCTATTCAGCTACAGCTTGCTGACGCTGGTGTTTCTTTCAACAGGGTACAGGGCTCTGCATGATCGCGAGAGTTGATGTGTGGCCATTGCACACTCAGGTTCTCAGACACTCGCAGCACGGGCCGGCGGCCGCACAAAGACCGGCTGGTGGGGACGTTGTCAATTTCATTCAGCAGCCGCGTAGTCTACGCCCACCGGCCGGTATGTGCAGTCGCGCAACAGCTCAGACACTCGCTGTTGACTCGCGCCGGAGATCCGCCCCTTTTTGAGGGATTCGCGGGAAAGGGCGTAGACATGCGCGAGACAATATTTTGACAGTTTTTGCGGATGGTCGCGAAAGAAAATTGGATGATGAGTGACGCGAGCAGTTTCGCAATATCGACGCGCATTTCAAATCTCAGCTCATATTGCATCAATCCAGGTTTTTTGCTACCTATTATATTTTCAAAATTCGTGCATTCCATCCATCCCACCTAAGCCCTCTTCTTTCCATTATTTTATTCCAATCCAAAATTAACTTTATTTGAAATCCTATCCTGAAGCTTCTTCTCTAGAAATCAAATCCTAAGTTTGCATTATTATTTTTCATTGATTTAGATGGTGGACAAATCTTGGAAAGGACGACAGGGAGCGATCAAAAGCCTTCGACATGCTCTCACAGGCCAGGATGGATTGGGCGGTCTTCGCTCGCATCCTCGGAAGAGCCTTATAAGCTATTCGAGTTTTGATAAGGTAGATGGACATTCCATCTTGCGTTTTGCAGGAGGGACGTACGGGCTTATGTACTGAATCCGGTAAGAGCTAAACTCCTTCCTCCAAAGGTAAGATGCCAGTGCACTTATTCCCAGTCTTCGTCGACATGGTTTTTTCTTTTCAGAAGAAGCGTGTGATCGAGACTACGGAGCAGCTTTTCTGCTGCCAAGGAAATAGAAAAGACCAGCCCCGGCGAGTTTTAGCCCATCTGCTACTACTTTTTTCTAATTTGCTGTACTTACATATCACTATCATATCATTTGCCTCAACTCTACTCCCGCTTTTGCGTATCACTTATTTGCGAGATTCTCATTGTTCAAACGGTTACCAAGTACACTTCTATCTCATCATGTATCTCCATATTGTGAAGCTTTAAGATAGTAAACATAGTAGTTTGATTCCCCCGAAGTTGTTATTTGATTTTCTTGCGTGGCTACGCTGAACATAACTTTAGCATTGAAATGTTCCTAAGATTGAAGTAAATTCACTATGTGCTAATGAAGTTTCCAATCAATCCTTATGTCATTTTAGAAGTAATAAATTGGTTAGTTTAGACTTTGTAGAATTCATCTTATTTATAAAGCTGAATGTCTGTGTGTCTGTCTGTCTGTACGTATGTGCGGAATAGAAATTTTTATTTCTGAACCGATTCGGACCAAACTTGGCACACATACACTTCGGGGCAGGGAGCGTGTCATAGGCTACTTTTCGTATCGATCGATATCGATTTTATCGATTTTTTTGCAAAATTTGAGCTACAGGGCTGGGAGTTGGCACAGGGGGGTAATCGAGCATGCTGATAACAAATATATTATTGACAGGCCCGGGCGGAGCCGGGTTTGCCAACTAGTATGTATATATAAGTGTACATCAGTGGCGGTCCGAGGGAGGGGGCGTCCCCCCCCCCCCCCCGAAAATGGGTCGCGAAATTTTTGAAAATTACCTATATGGGTTATAAAAATGTGCAAACGACTTGTTTATTTTTGTAAATAATTAAAATGATTTTTAAAATTTTTTAAAAATTCAAATTAGCCTTATAAAAGAATTTTTTCGGGGCTTGGGGACCTGCAAAATTATTGAGAAGCACCCCAAAATTTTTTCGGAGTGCGTGGCTGACGCCACGCACCCTCATTTGAAAGAAATTTTTGTCGCGCCTTCCCCCCCCCGGTCCGAAATCCTGGGACCGCCACTGGTGTACATATATACATACATATATGTACATATATATACATTTATATATATGTATATATAAATATATATAATATATATTTATATATACAAATATAAGTATATACATATATGTAATGTACAGCAAGTAGGGATATAGCGAAATTACTACTGCGAGATAACGCGCTCCAGTTGCGTCCGGACATCAGGATGTGTCGCCCTCGAGCTGCCGCGTATTTCCTGCAAGATGCGGGTCGCGTCAAAGCGTTGTCTCGGGCAGCATTGTTCCGACACATAATGCTGTCTCGGGATTTCGTCGCGAGGCCGATTAGTTGTGTCGCGCCTTCATTCAGCGCTTATACAAAACTTTGGGCTGCGCGAGTCAACAGCGAGTGTCTGAGAGAGTGGTTGTGTGGCGCGATTCTTCTTCGTTTTGCAGCCTTCGCTTTGCCCCTCACTCCCCGCCCCCTCAATTACAAAACGTAGTCAAACTGCAAAAACATATTTATTTATTGTATAAACAAACATAGTGAGGAACTATTTACAAATACGACTGGTACGTAAAACCTAGTACAATATGCCCCTAATGAAGCTACAAAATTTGGACGTTTCTTATGCCCACGAGAAGATGACGTTTTTTTGCACATGAGAACATCCACTCGATGCAGAAGATAGCACATTGGCCGCTACTCATTCCGAATCTGACTAGTTGCTGCTGTATTCTTCAGGGTGACTCTCACAGCGGACATCTGCAAACGAGATAAGCTTCTCACAAATGAGGTCATTGATACTAAGACTTACCTGCTCAGGAAGTGCTATTTACCAGTGAGCGCAGCAACCCAAAGGTCTATTCTAGGAGGCGTTCAGTAAATGTTTCCCCTAAATAACTCACCAAGGTCAGTTTCTGTCAAATGATCGGTGTGAACCCACTTAATTTCTGGAGTGTACGCAGTGATAGGCATAGGAATACCGGGAATCCGTGGAACATAAGATATATTCAAAATCCGTAGATATACAGCAGTTTCAGAATAATCAGAAAAGGAAAAGTAGTCCGTGAACGCATTCTGCGAAGAATAACTAGCTGAAGTCCATAGTCGTTAGCATGAAGATGCTGATCCCAATTGCATGACCATGGTCAGGTTCCGTGAGTAGAATAAGATTTCAGACACATGCAGCATAACGCACCTGTCTCCTAAAGACGTGAAACATGTCACTTTGGTTTTTTTGCTCACTTATCAAAAATAAGGCGAATCCAGACTCTATACCTCGCGAGCAGCACGTTTCAGCTTGGTATTCCCTGTTTTTGACCATTTAAGACAAGCACGATGTGAATTTGCAAAAAGTAAGGACTACAAGCGTCTTATTCCTTCGAATAAAATAATACAGTGAAACGGGATAACGTCAAGTCATAACGCGGCGAAATTCTGAGCGCCTTCTAGTGACACCAAGCAGCCATAATCTTCAGATAAACATACATAAACAAAAACATAAACGAATCAAAAAGTTGCGACTACCTAAATAAAAAGAGAAGTAGAGCGCACCTTTCCTATGAGGCTCAATCATGTAATGTTTGAGTTCCATGCAATTCCCGCACTTTGGCACACGGATCGTAGACAGATACTGGCTGGCAACCGTTTGATCGGCCGCCGGCCGGTATGATTTTTTGGAGCTGTCACCGGCCGGCATTTAGCTCCGCCCAGATTTATGGAACGGCCGCCTACCGGAAGGCCGTCGTCGGACGGTCGCCGGCCGGTGCGAGTGTCTGAGTTGTCATAAGCCCTCAAAACAGTCAAACAACCCCGTACTTTTCGAAATCGTCTTAGGTGATTGGAAGCTAGCTTCTGATAGCAGCGTTTGAAAGGAGAAAGATAAGTGACAAAGCTCGATGCGAGTGCAATGGTCGCAAACTCACCGACTTTCGCGATCACGCAGAGCCCTGTACGCGTACATCGTGAACAGCTACTTCCTGTTTTTGCATAGTCTTAAGTTCTGTGACTAGTTTCGGTTACCAGTGCATATCGTCAGTCGTATGTGCCGACTCGCGTCGATGATTTTTCAGCAATTATCAAAAACGGTCATATCTGGGGGCACCTAACCTTTCCTTTCAAATTTCCGCAATGGTCATTATGTTTCCTCGTTACTCTCAAGAACCATCCCTTGCTTTGGAAAAACCAAAGAAGGTTAGCATTCCGAGTTGCATATTCTCTATCTATTCATATTCTCGAAACCGCCGTGGAAAAAAAACACATCGCCTTTTTTGGAATGTAGTTTTCTTCAGGGCGTTTTGATCCTAGTTCGGGAAGCTTGTGCATAAAAGTAAAAGTAACTTTGGTTATCTCTCAATTTAGATTTGCTTTTTTGCTCTAAATAAGTCAGATTTTAATGAATTTTCGAACCACACTCTCGTTATTTTGGTCGATTATGCAGGACATGTTGATAATGCATATGTAAGGGTTTCACGGTCAACCGAAAAAATATGATTGCTGTTGCGGGGACTACTCGATAACTGAATTCGGTGGACGTTGGAAAGAGAAGAGGTAACAAATTGCAATACTTCTACTTTCACCGTAAAATTGCCCTACAACCTTCTACTTGTGAATCTGCACCTTCACAATGTGCGTCGCACATTGTGAAGGCAATGCAACTTTCGACAAAAACAAAGCAGCGACCTAATAATCCTAGTCTCTTTAAAAAACTTCAGAAGTCATGCAATGCGAAACATGCTAGCAATGTCATTCAATGGTGCAGCTGCAATGAGTGGCCAGATTTCTGGTGTTTTTGCAAAACTGAAAGAGCTGAGCGAGACCTTTGCAGATCCTCTGCGACAAACGCTGATGATATCCAGGGTAAAACGGGGGGTGCGGCACGCCGCACCAGGGGATCGTAAGGGGGGGGGGTAGGTGAGGAGGAGGGTCGTATCCGACCCAAGGTCAAAAGCGGTTTTCAAGGGGAAAAGCACTGCAGCTAAGTTTTTAGATGTGCCACTAACTACCTCTGACAACCCAGCCAATGTAATCGTGAGAAATACGAAATGGACTCTTGGTTGAAGTAAGGGTTGTATTTGCAATGCAATGGCAGCTTTTGCAGCGGGTGGATGATGATGTGACGACCAGCGAGTAATGTGTGGGTAATTGGATATTTCGTCACTACAAATGCACAATACACTTGAATGACTTGTGTCTAAAAAAAGGAACATAGGCACATTGTTGTTGTGGTTTCTGTGTAAAATGTACTTTTAAAAAACATTTATCTGTTGCGTACGCTAGTGTGAGAAAATGAATAGTGATTTATGAAGTGAATTGTGGTACAGATGTGGAGATGTTCAGTATGTTTTCTTAGAAGATCCTATTAAAAAATGCTTATCTTAGCAAGTTCTTCTTGCAACAGCCGGTTCTTAATTTCCTCTGTGTCCTTTCGTGCATTTAGACCGTGAACCACCATGTGGCGCCTCACATGGAGCTTGGCCAACTCATATGCATCTCCTAGATGCATAGAATGCTTTGAACTCTAAAATGTGAAGTGAATCCAACCTTTTGCAATGTTTTCTTTTACTGCTTTCATGAGGCTGTCTTCTCTAGCTAGATTCGATGGCATACCTGGATCCAGCCCAAGTCCCGGTGCAGGATGCATCCATTGGAGTGTTAAACTGTTGAAGTTTGACTGTCAGGATGCTAGGCCCATTACGCTGCACCCTAAAACATGCAATGATGTTGAAGCATACTTACACCAACAGGGCTTACATCATGATGTTGTCTAGAGACTCCGTCTTTATGTTACTCCTTTCCTCTCTAGAGAGCCTGTTAGCAGCAGAGAAACTGCGCTCGGGGTCGGCATTGCTTGCGGGGAGGATGAGGACGCATTCTATGGCCTAAAAAAGCTTTTGCTGTAGTCAAAAAAGACGGGGAATCAAGTACCTGCTGGACCTCATCCGGGACATGCAGATCCTTACTGTACTGTAACAGCGTTCGATAAAACGACAGACCGTCTGAGTGTTCTCTGAAGTTTGATTCCCACTTTGCGAACCTTTGCACTGACGCATGTATAGTATTATAAAAGCGAATCATGCTATCCTTGAGGTCAGGGATGTTACAGAACTGACTAAGTACTTCAGTGGAATACAAATTTTGCTGTTGACGAAGATTTGGATCAAGTATGTCGGCTTCCATAATAAAATAGCTGGACATCCTTCTATTGAAAATTCCGGAACTTCCAAATCAGTCTAGAGTGGAGGCAGATCAAAATCGCAGCTGACCTTAATAGCTGATGCTGGTGTCATGGCGTCAAACGTGTAAGCATTCGATAACAAAGGTGGAAATGTTCGCGTGTCTTGTTCTGTGCTGCCGTTTACACAGCCGGTTGTGTTTGGAGAAATCCGATCATTTCAATTAGAGATGCAATGCAGAAGTGAAGAGGTATAGTTTCGCTGTACAAGCTGTGTAAACTAAATTGACTTGACGACGCTAGAAGTCCTGCAAAATTCAAATTCAATGACACAAACTTGCAGATACCGTATGCCTACCGTAATACGCTAATCAAGTATGATTGTCGTAATCAGCGTGTCGAATAACTCCTATGCGCAAAGCAGCGAACTCTGAGGTCTCCGAGTAGTAAACTAACTTGTATGAAACAGTAATTTCAAACATGATTAACTTCATTTTGAAGGTGAGTAAGATACCTCTTGCACTCAATATAGAGCACTACCCCTCCCTTCCTTGCACAAAAAATCCCACTTCAAGAAACCTTCATGCTGTGAAATCAGAAGATTGCCAAATCGCACCTACAAATGTCAATGGCTGTGCTTTCCCTAAATATTACTCAGAGCTAAGAAGACGAATCAGGCTCAAATCACTCCTTGAAATCTACGAGGTTTAGGCTATCGACTCATCTAAATAATGCTTACTAAAACTGTCTTTTTGATATAGTTAATGGGGTGCGCCCCCTTCCCCTCAAAAGCTGCGGCTGCCGCAGCTTTTAAGGGGGGGGGGGGGCGCACCCCATTGACTTACCTTCAAAAGGCTCAAATGAAAGCCTTTTTTTACAATCCTACTGAGCCATCCTTCCCCTCCTCACACTAGCATTGCCCCCTCCCCCCCCCCCCCCAAGCGCGTCCTCTAGGAAAAGATACAGTGGATTACCTGAACCCTACTTGCCGAAGCACGGCTTCGAAAAGCTCCCATAATATTGGTGTACGGTAGGAGTCGAAAAATTGCCATCACACCAAGGGCAGGAGCCAGGACAGTTTGAAATGTGCATTCATTTTCATATGATCAAACTTCTGCTCTTTTCATGTCTTCTATATATTACATCCAGGGTCAAGCGTGGGGTGCGGCACGCCACACCTGGGGGGTCGTATTGAGGAGTCAAAAGGGGAGGGGGTCGTAGTTGGGTAATCTGATAATAGTGATAACATGATATTCGTATCATATTCATAATTAGCATGTCAATTAACCCCTGTAGACAAAGTGTGAGCGAGTTCTGAAGATTCAAGATGCTAGGCTACCTAAATGAAATGGTCAAATTCCAACATGGTTAACTTTGTTTCAAAGGTGAATTAGCTATACGTTTTTGCACTCAAGACAAAGCACTACTCCTTCTTTGTCCACCTCAGGAATCCCGCTTTAGAAGACCTCCGAACTGTGGAATTAGAAGCCAACCAAAATCTCGTTTTTCCCATTTTTCGCTTTTGATCGCTGTGCTTCACCAAATATTACTTAGAGCTAAGAAGACAAATCAGGCTCCAAACACTCCTATGGATTCTACAAGGTTTAGGCTATGGATTCATATAGATACTGTCCGCTAAAAATGTTTTTTTGATATAGTTAATGGGGTGCACCCCCTTAACTTGCCTTCAAAATCCAGAAAGCGCTCCATTGCTGGTATGAGTATTGAGCACATAGCTTCTTCTTGCTACATTGGAAATTTGGAGCCGAACGCCCTACCCATAAGAAAATTATGGCCCTTTCAATATGCCCATTAAGATCAAAATCGGCCGTCAAATTGGCGTGTGATTGTAAAGTGCAGTCACAGAAAATCGGGCGTACAGCTCTCAGAAATCTGAAAACTCTCTAGAAAAAGATGGTGTCCTCCAGAGTGTCACATTTTGAGGTCCAGAGGTTAAGAGGAGGAAGAAGGGGTCGTTTGAGGGCTTTCATGGGAGGAGGGGGGTTTTGAAAGACTTGTGCCTGACCTCTTTCTCAACTCTTGTAATGCTATCTTAGGTATATAGTTCAAGGGGGGTCTTATTAAGACAGCAATCAGGGGGGGGGGGGTCGCAACCAGCGATCGTGTGCCGCACCCCTTGTTTGACCCTGATTACATCCCTTGCCGTAAAGCATTTGATACGATACTTCATATTTTGGAAACACAGGTTCGTTGAATCTAGTTGTAATCCATCTCTAGAGTGGAAATTTGGTATCAATGTGAACCAGTGAAACAGTTTAGGTTGGTCGCCCTCTGATGATGACTGCGATACAAAAAGGCAAAGACCCTGAAGAGCTCCTGGGGTAATAAAATCACAGTTGCGTATATATCACGTTTCCGTTACGATTTTCAGAGGGGAAGTGAAGCCAAAGCTAGATCTTTTCCGAACTTGTGCGGCGGCCATACCTCGTTTGTTACCGGAACCGACAAATCCAGATCCCGAAAGCTCTGATCTCGTTGATGTCCAGGTATGGCAACAGTTGTATTTTTTGCTCAGATTTATGTAAATCTTCGTTTCAAGTCATATTCCCACGGATACATCTCTGTTCATGATTCATTTTTTGCTTTGTTGATAGTTTGGTCATGTTTCTCTTTGATAACTTGCTTCCCAAATGCGAACTTTAGGTACAATCCGTTGGAGAGTTGATTACGTTGCCCCTCACACGAACGAATGGCTCAAGGTATGCTCTTTTTTCTAATATTTTTGTTCCTGTGGTTTTTATTAGTACACTTTCCATAATCTGGGAAAACTCTTCTGTTTTAACTTGATCGGTTTTGATTGTCGCCATAGTTTTCACGTCAAAGCCTTTTTTCATCTTTTGGGGCCTTAAAGCACCTTTGGCTTTAACTCGTTAAAGGCAGTGGCTCGGGAAAATTGCGACTGTGGGCTTTCTAGGACTACATGGCCTCCTGGACCATCTGAGTCCGGTAGCTTGAAAAGATCCCCAACAATCTCCAAGACCCGGAAACGCCAAGAAAAGCACTTTTTGACTTTTTAAACGCAGTACCGAACTCAGCTGGTCCAGAAGGCCACGTAGTTATGGGAAGCCCGCAGTCGCAATTTTCCCGAGCTACTGCCTTCAACTCTAATTTCGAGATCAAGACCTACCTTTCCTTTATAATGGTATTTCAAACCTACCTTGCCTCTTTATATTGTGCTTCTTCCAAGGTTAACGTTGTCAAACACCGTTGCTATCTTTTGGGAAACCGACCTTCCTCTCAAATATGGGAGACGGGAAACTGGCGGAATTCGTTCCCTATCCAATGACCTATAGTTTCGATTTTGCACATTAACCCAATTCTGCGCTTTATCAAGGTGTTTAGACGAATATCACAGAAGATCTTCGCTTCCAATTCTGTTGTTTGTTACGTCCATCTCTACATTGCACTCGTATATACGCATGTATTTCTAGGGTCTCAATGTCTCACTTTCTATTCATGACCCATTGCAATTGTTACTTTTATTCACGGTGTAATATATAAACGTGTAAAATATATATAAGCTCCTGCAAGACGAAGGCGGTCGTTTCGGTGTGCGACATGGCTGCGTCACAGCTGCGTCACAGACGCGTCACAGCCACGTCGCACATCGAAAGACCGCCTTCGTCTTGCAGGAGCTTATACATGTATGTATGTATGTAACGTGTATATGTATACACGTTATCATATCTGACTGTCTATTGTGTGTGTATCTATCTGAATGTATATCTATTAATAACAAAACATGACTTTATCTCAGGCAACATGGTAATAGATTCTAACAAATATACAAATTCCAACATCAATGAGGACCATGCCGACAGAACCGCGCTATTCGCTTTCCTCACAATCGCTATCGTGGTAGGTCTCATCAGAATAAGAAGAAAAGAATTCCCTAAAAAGGAATTTCAGCTCGCTTTTGTGTATCTTCTTTTGCAGAAGAGAATCATCGTATGCGGCACGCCAAATCCGCCGCCGCCAGCAAACGTTTGAGCTTCAAGGATTCTAAGGATCTCTTACTCGATCTCAATGACTTTTTGTAAATTATAAAGAAACCTATGTACTTTAAAAAATGATTGTAATTCAAACCTGGGCGTTGCTTATGGGGCGAAGGGAGGGGGGGGGGGAGGTTGGAGTATGGGGTGGGGGGGGGGTGGGGTCGTGCCGAGGTCCGGTACAAGGGGGGGGGGGTCGTATCCGACGGTGGTGTGCCGCACCCCTCTTTACCCTGATGATATCATATGTAGGGCACATCGAAATTAGCAGGCACAAAAAGGAAGACTGTTCAAACTGGCTCAAAGCGTTGTTAGGGACGTATACCACTCAGTTCAAGTGTCAGAACAACTGGCAAGAGCATTCACAAAAAGCTGCACAAAAGATGTATTTTCCAGATCTATAGATACTCAGACAATCGCCGGGGGCAGGCGGGCACCGGAAAAATAGATTGCTGATCTCTCGCACTTCGCTCGCGGATTTTTTGGAAAGCAATCAGGACTTTTCGGAAGACCGCTTGCTGAGTTTTCGATTCCTCAGAGATTCAGCAATATATCTGCAAAAGATAAGAGCGAAAAAAAATTCAACAGGCGGTTTCTTAAAAATCCGATTCTTAAAAAACTGATTCAGCAAGCGGTCTTCCGAAAAGTCCTAATTGCTTTGCAAAAAATCCGCGAGCGGAGTGCGAGAAATCAGCAATCTATTTTTCCGATGCCCGCCTGCCCCCAGCGATTGTCTGAGTAGGTGTCCTTTTTACAGTAACTCAGATAATCGCCGGGGGCAGGCGGTCATGCGAATCTTGAACAAGCGCGTGCCGGAAAAATAGTTCGCTGGTATATTGCGGTCCGCTTGCAGAAATTTGGAATAATTTCGGCCAATTTTTAGACGAGCGCTCGGAGAGCTGTCGCGGTCTTTCTATGGATAAGTTGCGGCCCAGTGGCCGCATTCTCGCGGACTTTCCGCGAGAATATGCAAAATTGGGGGCCGCACTGTC